CAACACTTCCAAAGTCCCGCCCCTTTTTGGTACCTTAGCCAACTTCCTCCTTTTCTTGTACTTAGATTTTGATAACTATCTTCAAAATGTGGTTGTCTTTTCAACATAGATGAGATTAGCATGTAGCATTTGTAAGTACTGGAAAGGAGGAAGTTGGCCAAGGTACCAAAAAGGAGCGGGACTTAGGACAGGTCAATTACAGATGGCCTTCAGTTGATCCGGTGGCTGAACATAACTGACTTTAACATCTGTGTTTTTCATGCCACCTTACATCTGGAGAAGTATTTTGGGCATAATTCTGGCTCCAGGCAGATTTGACTACTGTGAGTTTTTTATATGTACAGTGTGTCTACTAAAAAGTCTAAATCTAAATCTAAATAGCCACACACACCTCACTTAACTTTTTTACGAGCTGTGACCCAATATTTTTCTAATTTTGAATTTTTCTGTCAATGTTCATTTGAAGGTTTTGGGTTTAGGTTGGGTTTAAGTCACGTTGCTGATATGGGCCTATAAAACCCATGCATGCACTGTATATGATTTAATTTATACAAACAATGTCGGCATGCCTTCGTTTTGAAGTTTTTCACAGATTTGCATTATCGTTTCTGCGCTGAGCCTCACAACAGCCTCACATAGTGCACGTTAAACTAACTTATGGTCTCTACAATATACGTAGCTGTTTGTCTTAATTCCTCAAAGCCTGACATGTTCATACATTTAATAGCCATGAGTGGAATTGCACAAGTGGAAAAAAGATAACACAGTAAAGCTGACACACACTGAGGAGCAATCTCGAACAGAAACAAAAAAATTATAATAATGACAAGAGATCCTGATTTGCGTTGAAGTAAAATAAGTCAGAATTTGTTGGAGTTCCAAATTTCATGCAGGGATTTCTTGCATATTTTCTTAGCTGAAATTCTGAAAGGAGCAAGTGAAAATGCCCCAAACCAGCCTGGGATGCAACTGTAATCTATCAACTTGCACATTTTCAGCAAATATTTTACCATGTAATTGTTTTTAGATTGTTTTCATTTATTTAAGATTATTACATTTGGAATTGTATCCAGATTTGTGGCCTGACTGTGACTTCATGTGTAAAATGCTTATTGTCACTATTAAGCTTTGCACAGGTAATTGAGACATCAAAATATTCAATAGTTGCCTGATGGAAGAGAAAAATAATAACCTCTATAACAGATCTATAATAACATAAAAATGCACAGCTTGGACAGAAGGAGGTGATTGTATGTTGTTTATCACTCTTTGTGTGTGAATGAAATAGCTACAAACTAAATTTACAGGTAAGTGATTCAATTTAAGGCCACATGCAAGTTTGTATATCTCTGTGTTTGTATTACAGAAACACTGAATTCAGCATCTCCCTCCAATGGGTTAGAGCTCTGTCTTCAAGGCTGGATCCCATCACCAGTTCATACCTCCTCAATCTGTGCCAGGCAACTCTGCAGCACACCCACAGGACTAAACAGAACACATCTAAATACTTCCCAGACGTCAGTCCCTCAGGTATTCTCTGCAACTCATCCCCCACTACTCGTGCCCATATGTTCTGGTCCTGTGCAAAGCATCAAGAATTTTGGTGTCTCAGCTTTAAAACAATCTCCGAAAGAGAAAATGCTCACCCAACTACCTTTAGTCACTGGATCAAAGACCTACTTTTGTACTTTTTTTAAGTTAGAGAAAACAAGATACTCATAAAGGGGCTCCACAAAGGCTTTTCATAAAGTACGGAATCCCTTTCTTAACCATATTAAAGAGAAAATCCAATTACCCACCGTTCCATAAAAAAACACAAAGTCAGAAGTAGCCATGCTCGCTGCCCTGCGTCTTTTCTATTCTTTACAAATACATATTCAATTGCCTATTATATTCTTATGTTGTCTTTAACTTTTATTTTAGGTAACTGTTTTTTTTTATTGTATGTTGTTTTTTTCAACTATCACTATGTACTTATACATTTTCTTTTCTTTTGTCTTTTTATATACATAATATGTTACTGAATATATCATACAGTATTGTACCATTTTTTCATCGCAATGAACAAAGTTATATATAAAAAAAAAGTTATTTTGACAGTTTTTGAATATGCAATTTGGGCCAAAAGCTAAGTTATAAAAATAACACTTTAAATGCAGGCTGCGGGTAAGAGATGCATACAACAACTGAAGAGGGAAGAGAAAAACAGTAGTTATCAGTTTGCCTTGAAGGTTGAAGTTCAGTTCATGTACAATGCTCTCGCTCTAGCTCATTGGTGTTTGAAAGGAGCATTGATGGAAGAGAGAGAGAGAGGTGTAGCTATGGTACAAAGTCAGCTGAAGTTTCTCGATACAATAATCCAATGTATAGTCTCTCTCGCTGCATCTGGTTGGTCTCTGAGGTGAACCACGCAGGCCCACTGGAGCACATCACAGGCTTTCTGGGCAGAGATTTGGCAAAGCCACAGTGATGTCCTCGCTCCCGGTGTAGAAAATTCCTTAGAAAAGAAATTTATCTAATATACTGATCGTACATCAATTTAGTCTCTTCCAAAAACATGAAGTATCAAAGCATTGATCTAAGATGCCATCAAGAGATTTCAAGAAGTCTCAGCCTTCCTGACTGATGGAGAATTGGGGAATCTGAGGACATGGAGCTCCCAAATGAGCTTTATTTAATTTTAGCAGAAAGTCCTTATGCTCCTAAAATCACCATGAATACTGTTACTGTACCTACAAATTGTCCGTTTACGCCTCTCCCTGCAGCTCAAGGGAGATCATGATACCAATTCCTTATCAGTATCAACAGGGACACCTTCACCCCACTGTCTTCTTCTCAGCTTTTGGGCTCCAAGTCTTTCTTCCTCCCCTTCCTCCAATACGAAACACTACAGTCTGGAAGATAGAAGAGAAACTTCATTAATCATTTGCACTCCCATAAATATTATTCTGTGTCTCTTTTCAGGGCCACATGTTTTACTGTCACATTATGAATGCTTCTCGATATGGATGTATAGTATGAGCCTTGGGACCAGAGCTCTCAGGTTTCACCGTGTTGAGGAGTCACATACAAAGTATTTGCAACTGTATGTAACTTAATTTGTACCTTTTTTATGTATGTAATGTATTTTGAGGTTTTATTACGCAGTCACAGAACTGTGAACATCACCAAACGCAGATTCAACTGTAACAGCAGCCTCAAATACGAGTGGGTCAAAAGCACGTGAGCCACCATGTTTCTATAAGTAGAACAACGCACCATGGAGTATGAAAACTGGAATGTTTCACTTTTTGCGTTGCAATACCAAACTGCTGAGAAAACGTGCTTTTAATGAGTTAATAGAGGAGAAGCAACAGGTTTGCAAGTGTATACCACCTGTATACTCACTCAGCCGAGGAGACATATAGCGATATCTTGCTGCTCATCACTTCCCCATCTGCTACGGAAATGTGTCATGTGTTGGCTGTTGAAGTGATGGTTGTCTGTGCTATTGCAGTCAGTGATTGTGATGCACGCTGCCATTTGATATTAGAAATGAAAGCTTTAAATGTTGACCTGCCTTATTAAATCTGTCTTGCAGAGGTCAAATGGGCTGAATTAAAGTGCACATGAGACATGTAACAGTATAGCACTGTTCCTAATAAATGCAGTCACATGTGTTCAATCCCCTCATGTTAGGGCCTCTCTAACAGGAAACACTAAGTTTGGTTACGTTCTGCGATTGGGGGAATGTCATCTTGGTAATGCCCGGGGTAGCATTATTGTAGCAGATGCCCATATTATCCAAACGTTCTGGTTTTCTTCTAACAAACACATTGCATTCCATGTCCGTGATGCTAAGGTATGTTTGAGCCATGTCCTGGGGCGGCGTGGAGGCTTGGGCTCATCAAAAACAACTGAAGTGAGGCCTCCTGGTTGTGCTTTGAGTACCATTATGGATATGTTGGATACGTCGATGCCAAAATAAGCTTCAACAACACATCTCGTCTCTTTGCATTGCAGATGCACACAAAGGTTGTTGACAGGGAGCCATACAGGGCCGACATATAGAGGGATGGCATAAAAAATGCCTCGCCACCCTGGTTTGGTGTCCATTGCTGTCAAATTTAACACATTAATTTCTAATTATTTGAAAAATTGCCCGCATTTTAGACTAAGTGACAGGCTTAAGATAAGGGAAAAAATATGTATTTAGAAAAATGTCTGAACATTTGGAAATAAAACAATTTATTGCTTTCAAATGAAATACCTTCATTTGAAGGCTTTTCCAAGCAAATATAAATAAATATATGATTGTTTGCAATTAAATCAGCATATATTTCTGCTACCCTTTAAAGTCTCCATGCCCCCACCTGAAGATTTCTCTGTGCTCTGCTCTATGAGTCTACACAAACAGAAAATGAACGACAGATGCTTTCAGCACACTCAACAAGTAGTGCTGCACACCGTATGGAAGGGGTTACAAATGTAAATAGTTTTACAAGACTGCAAGACTGAAAAGAAGCTTAAATTTAAATTGTCTGGAAAACAGGGCAGCTTGATAGCTCACCTGGTAGATCTGGCGCCCCATGTATCAAGACTGAGTCCTTGCTGCAGCAGCAATCGGTTCGACTCTTTACTGCATATCATCCCCTTTTCCTATCACTCTTAGGCTGTCACTATCAATAAAAAGGCAGTAAAAATCCCCCCAACATCCCAGTCCTGCTCCAGTGCACTATTGCACAACTAAATCTCCCTTCAAGCTACTGCATGAATGAAAAAGTTCTGCATTTTAGTAACGGTTTGATTTACCTCATTCCCATGATTCTGGCAGTTTTACACCTGCGTGGTAATAAAAATGCCATTTTGGTATTTTCTACTGCTCGTGCTATTGTGTGCCATGGTGTGTGTGCCAATGTTTTTGACAGGTAGGGAGATCAAATATCAGTGATGAGTTCTTCTTCTGCGTGCAGAATAATCATTTCTGGAGCCACAAAATCTTGTTTAAATGGTGAGGCAAAGACTCAAGCACGACCCAGAGCATCAAAGGTTTGGCTATGCTTCGAGTGAGAGCAAAAGAGGACACATACACAACGTCCCCCCCAGTGGATGTAATGCTGAGCAACAACTAATAATGTACTCTCCTGACCATAGTCTGTTCATGTCTAAATCTAATCCAGCACTTGATTTGGCCCCTGACAGGTCTAAATATACCCCCCTCCCCATTTTCTTATTAGGTCCTAACAAGGAGTCCTATTGTGAGAACCACGTAGACTCCAAGGTACCAAAAGTTCAATAGGCATGTAGATAAGAAACAAATATTGACATGCTGCAATGTCCTGTCTGTGCAGTTTAGACTAGCTGGTTGTTTTCTTTGCTTTAAATTGTTCTTTACACAGCCCGTTCTGTTTGTGTGCCTGTCCCTGTGATTATAGTGCATTCACATTAGACAATAGAACAAGTTCTTAGTTGCAGCCTGGAGTCATTGTAGGGTTTCCTTTGTTATACTCACAGTCCTGCTGCACTTCTTTGCTGGCAAAGCACTCGCTGAAGAGGCAGTGCATGGTGTGGCAGAAGTTGTCCAGGAGGGATTTTGGGGAAGCATATCGCCATCTGGACTCTGGCACTCTGTCGTGCTCTTCTGTCAAATCATCCCAAGTGTCCTGGATAACCTCTGGAAGCTCCTGCTGGAACACCTGGACACACACCCCCACACACACACGGGTGAGAGACAGCCAGGTGGGATAAATATGGAGTAAATGGATATGGATCTATCTATAAAAATGTCAATATATTGCAAGAAATACATCAACAGCACTCAACAATGTAAAAAAATGTAAAATAATATATATAAATATGTAAGCATCTTAAAATGTGATATTTATGGTGGTTATGTAAGGTCAATACGCACAAGAATATCATGTCTTGATGGAAGAAAAAGCAGAAAAACTTCCCTAAACAGCGGAAAAGGGAAGATTGATTGCCCAGCGATCACTTTTTCCTACATCTTTCAACCATTTACACTGAGAGAAAGCCAACAGATGCTTTTAATCCATAATATTTTAAAGTGTCCAACCACGCTGAACTTGCGACTCCTTCAGACTTAGGTTCCTCCTCACAATCCTACACACTGGTTCTTTAAAGTCTGGTACTGGTACCATTTAAAGCCATTTAGCGTCAATGTTATCACTCATAGTGATAAGATAAAATTTGTGAACGTGGCCCTGGTCTTGGGGTATTCTGAGGTGTTGGGAAGTCGGTTGTAGCAAACCCCACTGATGTCTACTTGGCATGTGTATTTAACATTTACGTAAGAGGAAGAACAAACCAGATATGGATCACAATTTCAGCATCAGAGCTGGCTGCGATCAGTGCAGACTCACTGTCTGCTGACTTTAGACTCACTGTCTGCTTCAACACAAGGCCAAAGGGCATTGATGGCGGATAGGTTGTAAACAAAACTCCCCATGCACTGCCAACAACAGTCAGGTGCTGGTAGGTCGCAGGACCATGTAATTAAAAATCAGAATGAACCACCGCACACTGGAGTGACTTTACTGTGATTAATTTAAGAGCGAACAACTTGCTTGCAGCTTCCTCAGGTTCGCTCAGCAAAATTGCATGAGCACTCACAGGTGTGCTAAATAGCCCGCATCTGGGTCACATGACCAGTCAGGTGCCATCACAGTCTTATGTTTTTATATATATTTTTTAGAAATGTAAGAGCATAGCAAAAACATGAAATACAAAAAATGCATATTGCAAAATGCAAAGCAAGATACATTTAGGAACAGCATGATCTAACAGAATTACAAGAATTACACATTACATAATGTAAATGTACAGCTGAAATATCCTGTAGGTCCTACCACTGTCCCTCTACACCGTTAAATTGGAAGGCCAGGGGATCCAGGTGCGGCCTATTTGGCACACCTGTGAGTGCTCATGCAATTTTGCCAACTGTATGCATTTAAATGTCAAAAAGTCCATGTCTGACATTTGAAAACTGGTCTATTAAGTGTTTTTTTTTTATTGTTGCTACTGCTGGGCCAACATGATTTAACACAGAGCACAAAGAGGACACATGATTTTCGATCACATACCAACACTGATGAGTCACCATTAATGAAACATCCCTCATATGCACTTCACTGAATGATCAATCAGTGTCCTAAGTTCACCTTCACTGAACTCCTGTTGGATCGTAAATAGAAGCCGCATTTAATCTTGCAGTGATAAGACCATTCATTCCCAATATTGATAAATAGGATCAATGTGACATCCGTCTCCTGTCAAATATCCTATGACCCTTACAGTCAGAGGGAAATTCACTTACTGACTGAATTGCTTCATTTGAAAAGGAATTTGATAGAGCTGTGGTACAGATACATGGACCAAAGCTCTATTCAATTCCTCTTCAAATAAAGAGGAAGTTCAGGAGGAATTTAATAGAGCTGCGGTGCTGATATGTGAACTCTAACTTACCTCAGTGGGATGCGAATGTACAAAGACTCCCTCTGCATCCCTGAAGCGTATTTCCAACTCAGCCGTGTATGGACGCGAAGGATGTCTCTCTGGCATAACCCGGAGGATCTGAAATTTCAATTTGTCCTTAGTCAACAAGCTTAATGACCTTCTCCATGCAGACCTTTGACTCGGGCAAAATTAAATGTGTTAAACGTGTGTCAAATGTTACTCGTATTAACAGCATTAATGACAGTGACTACTGGGCGAGAAAGAGAGGTCAGATTCAGATTTTTTATTTCAGTTTATAAATCATTGTATGCCTCCATACGTATGCATCCAAATAATTCTTAATGATCCCCCAAAGTGACAAGATTTGATGTTAGTCACATAAAAAACAAGCAGCCTAGCAGTAGCAGTGACAATTAGATAAGATGATTCACAGAGAATATATTGGCTAACACTTTGATAATCTATTAATTATCAATGGTACGTCAGCTGTTTTTTTGTGTTTGTTGTTTGTGGAAGAAAACTAAGAGTAAATTCAACGTAAGTGGTAACACATTGTAAATAAGTTTGGAGAAATCCTGTCTATGAGTGTAATATATTAACTAGTTTTAAGTTAAATTATCTGAATGTAACAATAAATACTAAGTTACTTATATTCAAATCAAATATATTTAATGCTTAAATTGTTTGAGTTAATAAACTTTTATGGTTTAAGGCAATCAGTTTCCTTACAAAGTTTGAGTTGAACTAACTTATTGGGTTTTACAGCGTAGTACTGCAACATCCTTGTTGTTATTAATGATGTTTTCTTTCTTGTTTACTCTTTACAAATGTTTTTCTTTATCTCTTTCAGTCTCATTTTTTAATTTATTTCCATTTTTACACCATTGTGTTATTTTATTCCTTTTTTTAATTTACTTTCGAGTTACTGTCATTGTTGTATTCGTAATTTGTACAACTCACACTGTCATTTTTACTGGCTTTATAATGGGGGGGGGGTGGTCAACAGGTAAGTTAAGCTTGTTCAGGGGTGGGAAGAAGCATTGTTAAAACTGACAATTCCTTGTGTACTGTTATTCCGACTATGTACAACAAGTTGGATTTTTTTTCAATAAAACATTGGTTAAAAAATATGAAAGATGAATCTAATGTGTGATGAACCCAATGAAATCAACTATTGGTGGTCAGCAAACCATGCCCATTGGTGCTGAGAGCTGTACTGGTGTGACCCAGTAGACTCGTGCAGCTCAGAATACCACTGAGTATTAGGTTAAGTGTGCATTAAGTGCGGTTTAAGGGTGTTGTCTGTTTTCCTAAGTGCTACGCATTTGTTAAATGTGAACGGACGTGTGGGTGTGGAAGAAGAAGAAGGAGGAGGAGAGGACTCTCCAACACCAAAGACACTTTAACTTCACTCAATTGGCAATTAAATGTGATCATTTAATTGTGAGGATTAAACGGGTTGAAGCCCCAGGTACTGAGTTTTTTTTTAATAGAGAGGCCCTGCCCAACTAATTCAACCTTTGTGCTCAGGTGAGCAGAACATGCTACTTTATCTTTTACCTGAGGGCGAAATGTGAGTGTAGGTGTGTGGTATGGCACTACTTTAAGCTCCTGTGTTTTGGAAAAGGAAAAAAAACTGACCAGTCCCTAGCCAGCATACAGTATGTGCCTGTTCCCTTAATCTGTCAATGACTGACATGTGGTTTTAAAATAATTATTTTTATTGATTGACAGAGTCTTATGATTTCCCTCAAATAAAAGACGAGGAATGTCAAAAGAGAGTTGCTGAAGCAAAATATTGTGAAAATGTGCTACTGCTATGTAACAAACATTGTAATATGAAATGTATGAGTAACACAGAGGATGCAGTTTTTAAATGAAGGTTTAAATATTGCAATTTGCTTATGTTCATTTTTCCTGCTGCTGGTATAACTCCATTTAAAATGAGCTCCTCCTTAACTCTTCCTCTTACGTGCAAGTGAATAGAAATGAGTGGGGCACATTCTTACTCGCTCAAAACAAAACGGTTGAATGAGTGACGTATTTCCACTGGCTGAGCAACAATGAAAACCTTTGAGACACTAAATATATTTCATGAAAGAAACACGATTAGCACTACTTTAGACTGAGCTTTGATGTACTAACAGGGTTACTTCAGACATTTTCCCACAGCCAAATGAACCGAACGTAAGTTCAGTTAGGAAGACTATTTTTATTCCTCATTCATTCACAATTCTTTCTTAACCAGCTGACTATGGGTGTTTACTCATTGTTTACCTATTTAAATCAGATTTTGCTGCAATCTCAATTAGCCAATCATGCCTTTGCTGTCAAACTTTAAATCTGTGCTCCTCTCTGCTGCTGTCAGCTGCCATTTCAGTGTGAAATCATTGCAACCCTCCTCCACTTCATTCACCTCAAGTTCCTCTCATCCAGTGCCCATGTTGAATTTATCAAAGTTCAGCCATTCTCTTCCTCCCTTCATCCCCACTACCAGTGTCTAGATTCCCTTTGTGGGGTTTCGTATACTACTCACGACTTCACTAACCCCTAAAAACCATTATGATTGTGATTATGTCACAATGGTTTGAAAGACTTTTCTAATCATGACTATGCACATGGGGTTCACTCATAATTGTCTCCTGATTAAACTGCAGACTTTGTGGCATCTCTTGTGTCATGCACTTATCTAGACCTGCTCAGCTAAATAAATTTAACAATTTCTTTCTTTAACAATGCTTCTTCCCAACCCTTTGCGTCACTGCAGTAAGGTATCTGAGGTATGACGAGAGGCTCAAGTTACACTGAAGCGCAGGGCCACCAGTGGCCTCAAATGAGCTCAGTATCACACTAATAGTTTTTCCACCAAATTTGTTCTGGTTCTTAAACCCGTTTCGTATAAGATTCTTGGAACCTTGGTGCTTTTAAGCAATTATGCAAATCCTAAAAGCATTTGATTTCTGACACAGTGAACAGCTACACTCTTTCAGCTGATAGCATTATATAATCCCCAGTCAACTCAAATAACCTTTTTATCACAGTTGTCAAAGAAAATGAAAGATCTTCCAGTGACAGACAACAATAAAACACACACAATATGAATTTATGCTTTTAAAAACTGAATGATGAATGATTGACTAATTGGTTGACCGTATGCACACATAATGTTGTGTCCCTTTATGTCTCAGATTTTAGCCAGAGATGGTTTAAGGACAACTTGGTAGTTGGAGTGCTTAAGTGGTTACTCACAATGTAATTTAATTTCTTGAAAATTTAAATTGAAGGCTAATAAAATAAGTGGACACAGTTGACAAGAAATTATAGAAATAAAAAAACAAACAAGTGGTGTAGTCATTTTAACAGCTCAGACCTATTCAGGCACTAAGGAGCAAAGGAAAAGGGACCCCTAACTTGTTTAAACATTTACACAAGGAAAATAAAATAAAATGTTTTTGGACAAAATGGGAAAAATTGTATTTTTATGCAGATGATATTCTTACCTTTTTTAACACGCCTTGGTTGACCTGGAACCACAACCTCTGGAGAACCAGCTCATCCAACCCCTCCACCTGTAACCTCTGATGGGTTGAGGAGAGAAAAGACATTTTTTATTAATCTCAGTAGCCAGACCTTTGACTGGTGGCATAAAGTCACAGACTCAAAGTCTGGCCTTGAAAATAAGGTACATGTCAAGCATCATCTGAGGAATCTCCTCCACCATGTCCTCAGTGACGGGAAAAGAGTCAATAAATCAAGAGACGGTATCACGACTTTTACCATTCTGCTGATGTTTGACAGTTTAAAGACTTCGTGTTGGTGAACCCTGATGGTGTAGTTGATGGGGAAGTTGTGCTTCTGTAACACAGAGAAAAAGAGAAACAATTATCACGCGCATTTTATAAAGCAGAAAGCAGTAATACATGTTTATGTCACATTTACTATCAAAACTAGTAAATTTAACTTTTTCTCTTTTTAACTTCTTCTCGTATATAACATGACACGCAAACACAGAAGTTGTCTTCTCCCACACTCTCTACTTACTAAAAATACCATTTCATGACAATCTAATCAACAGCATAAAGGATATAGTGCATGATGGATAAAGGTACAGCACTTATCCATATTGTCTACGCCTGGATTTTATTGTTCAGTAAAAATATCAACCATAGAGGGTCACTCCAACATTTTAAACATCAAGTTTAGTTTATTTGTCAAGGGTAGTATAGTTCTGCGACTCTGGTGGAGCATGGTCGAGTCTGAAAAAATAATCCCAGTGATTGTAGGGTAAATTTAACCTGGACAAATTCTTCACAGAAACCTGAGTAGAGTTTTGAAGGCATTAACCACTCAGAAAGTGTTTTAATGTAAAGGATTTATGGACACTAATGTCCCTTATTTGGAGCTAGAAGTCAGGATGTCCTGGCAACCATCACTAGTGCCTAGTCTCTCTCAGTTCTTTCTAAAAAACAGTCTCTGTTGTCACTATTGTTCTCATTGTTGTCTCTTATTATTGTCTAGTTGGCTGCAGTCAGCTGAAAATCATCCTGGGAATGGCAGGAAATGACTAATTTCAGTAGAAGTGAACGAAACTTCTAAGAATGACCCCTTGAATACACCGAACGTTAGGGTCAGAGTTGTACCTCACATTTACTCCCACTGCTCTGGTCCCACCCAGCTAGTCCAGAATTTACGACCACTGACCTTCCACCCACAAGGCAACTAAACACGTGTCTCCACATTCATTGAGACAAGCTTGCAAACATGACATCATTCTCTCACCATGTAGCGTCTCCTGTGGCTGAGGCTGTTGTTGAGCGTCCTCAAGGGTGTGCACATGCTAGCCGGTGTCGGGGCCATCTGAACAGGTGCTAGCAGAAACAGGCCTACAAAAACAGGAGCAGCATGAGATTAACTGCACAATCACTACACAAAGAGAAACTACTTGACTTGTTTGGCCAAACTACTGCATGTGTGACCAATATGTGTGCGTAATGATGTGTGAGTTTACAGGATTTTAGTTAGCAGTGCATCGGTTTGATGTATGATCACTTTGTGTTGAAGCAGAGCTACTGTGACAATAGTCTGCCTTGACAGAAGTCAACCAGATCCACCATGGATCAAAAAGTTGTCAGGATAGATATATCCAGTGTACTATACCCTGGCTTTCTAGGGGAGCTCACTTTTTCTTATCGGGTGTGGTCGTGCCTGCCTCAAAAGAGACATGAGTCATAGTATGCTGACTACAAAACAGAGCAACGAATAATGCAACGATTTTGTGTGCAGACTGAGAAGACAGTTGTTTTTTTCTGGTATCTGAATTAAAGTGAGTGAAGTCAATGATATCGCGTCGCTAGGCTTCAGTGTTGATGGCAAAAATAGCATGCATGGCGATATCTTTATTAAAGTGAATTAGGTCACCCTTATGCATGAATCATACATAATATCAATACATCCCATGGCTCTCTTGTATTTTGCCCCCTGGATATATTGCAACAGTCTGCAATGTTACATATTTTTTTATATTTTCAGCCGTTAGGTGAAACATTATTACAATTCATCCTGAGGCAAACAAATTTCCTGACAATAACCGTCCAACAGTTGTCAAGACATGTCACTCAAAACCACAAATGTCCACCTCATAGAGGTGGTAGAAGAAAAGTCAGGGAATCACCAAAGTCTTTAGGGTGCTTCTTCTGGGATCATTGTCTGGACCAAACTTTTGTCCTCGTCTCTGAGACTTCAACGTCACTTCTGCCAAAAACGTTAATATAGTTTGTTTGAACAAGCAGGTATCCTTTTATGAACATAATTTGTGCCACGGCAAAAAAAAAACGTCAGAACTTATTTTATGCATTCAAAACAAGTTACCAATGATCTGGAATTTCAATTGAAGACTCCTTTTTACGACTCCACCGTCTTTTACCATTTGTTGAAGTGTCCCAGTAAAACAAACAGACTTGTCATTGACTCAGCCAAGCAAATCAGTCAACCAAGCAATTATCTTGACAGTTGCTTGCCACTGTTAAACATTCATCTCGATTCTGTCAGTATCTGAACTGTTTTTTTCATTCTGCGCCTGTGCAAGAGGAAAAAAACTAGTCAGTAGCCTGTTTTCCTAATCACAAATATCACATTTAAATGCTTTGAATACCACTTCACATGTTTTTCTTGGCTCTGCATTGCTTTCATGTGGAGGAAGAAGAGGCAAGGCTGAGCAGTTTGTCATATACCTCTTAGTCATTGACGGCGTCCATTAAGGGCAAACTCATTGAGGACACTTGATGGCCAATCAATCAATCAATCAATCAATCAATCAATCAATCAATCAACCTGACTTCATTTGAATAGCACTTTTCATAAAAAGCTATTTAACTGTGCTTCACGCATTAAAACACCCTTCACAGCTTTATAAACCCAAAAAGGTTTTGAGCAATGGTAGATCACATATGAATCTTAATCTCTCATTAACTTGAGAATTTATTTTATAAATGTTGTTTCTCCACAAAGATCAATGCATGGCAATAGCAAGCTCCTGTAGGTTTGCACACTAGTATTGGCAGTATATTGGCAAGAATCTGGCCATACGATATGCATCACGATACAGGGGTTACGATTTAATATACTGCGATATATTGCAATTTTATTTAAATCAAGTTTTAGCAAAAGAATACACTACCACATACATACATCTGAGTTTAAAAAAGTTTTCATGCAACCAGAACTGTGGGATCTTCCCAGTCCCTGTAACATCCAACATCATAGTGCTAAATTTACAACACTGCAGTTGGTTTAAACACAAAAATCAATACAGTGTTTTTGAGAATAGATACAATATCACTAAATAAAAATATCACAAGATTGATATTTTCTTACACCCTTAATGTACACCATCCGGTTTTCAGGATTAAGAAGTAATAGTAATAGTTCTATAATGCTGTAATATTGTGACGAAACAGTATATGTCACTTTTAAACCCACTTAAATTAGATCGATTCTACTGTCATCGCACAGGTACTGAGACAATGAAATAGTGCAAACAGCAGTTAAGTGCAGAGTATGCACATGTGTATAGAACAGTAAAGACGTAGGGGGTAAATATGAATATCCATCAATTATCTCTAACCACTTATCCTTTGGAGGGTCACAGGGGGCTGAAGCCAATCCCAACTGACATTGAGGCGCGGTACACCCCGGGCAGGTCACCAGTTCATCTCAGGGCTGACACATAGAGACAGTATGAGCAGTATGAACCGTGTGAAATGAATACTCCGACATAAACAGCATGAACAAAAAAATATACAGTGCAGGTACAAGTATAAATGCAACAGTAAATCTTTATGCGGACGCTTCACTTTCTCTCATAGATGTCCTGTTCTCTCACGTCTTTCATTTCCCCTCTCACTCACAGACATATAATAACAGAAAGAGAGGCGCTCAGCACGAGGTGAGACACTTACGATTTATAACTGCAACGTGACCCAGGCATGTTAAAGAACTCCCCACGAGAGGGAGAAACATGATCACCGCTTTACCTCACTGTCATTTCCACGTGAGTATTATCATGCTCTGTTCTTACCATTTAACTATTCATGTACAAATGCACCTTTTCTCATCCTGAAAATACTAAATAAGTTTTTTTTTGTAAATAAACTAAAGTAACAACAATTTTTCAAATTATCTGTTGATCTACCTGCAGTTTATGCTCAGAAAAATCCAACGTTTTAAACAGTAACAACATTTCTTCTTAGTAGGAACTTTAATTATTTTGCTCTGTTGCTCCAACATAAGATAAAACCTCAAGTAGAGCTAAAGTAGAGGGACTTATCCTGAGCTGTAGCTGCACTACCACTCTGTCCAACCTTTTGCACCATAAATGCATCAAATCTGCAAGACTCATAGGTCAGATTTATCTGAGATCAACCAAAACTGCTGCATAGTCACGTTAAGCAACAGCAGCAACAACAGCTATCGATACAGATTTTCACATAGAACATTTGTGGTTAATTACAAAATAAATACATGAATAAATGGTAACCCCATTTACTGTCTAAACTGGATATCAACTGCATGAAAAAGTACCACTGACTGCAGTATTCAAGTTCATATAAAAAGAATCATATGTCCTCATGAATGCACTCCACATGTACGTGTGTATCTGAAAACAGGCCTTTACACAGGCCAAGGGCTGCTGCCACTCCGAGGAGAAAGCCTCCTTTCTCACAGGTAAGAGAGTGAGTTAAAGTGCTGCAGCACCATCTGGAAGTCTTTGTGTGTAAAGAGCACAGAAACAAAACTGACAGATCATCACTGTAAGATGAATCATGCAAAAGCAATGGAAGAACAGCCATTGTAGTTCTGACTATATACCGTTTCTTTTAGCTGTATTAATTCTGGTTAATTTAGACTACTAATAAAACTAATATATACTTCCCTTTGACTTAAACAAAATTAATTAGCACATTATCCCAGTAACTCCCCAAAAAGTTTTCATACATGAGCTTGCATCATCCTGTTGGCTGCTAAAGAACCTGAGCACTATTCAGGTATAAGATCCAGGGATAGTTTGAATGCTTCATAAAATGTGTTTCTGTATCTGAACCTGCATGTCAGCACTTGTTTGTACTCCTGCAAATGCCTGAGACTGCCTGTGTATGTGTGTGACACTGAACGAATTGTACTGAGATTATTTTCATTTTTCGTTAGTGTTGTTGTAAACTGAGTGAAAGCTTTTCATAGTGTGTTTCAGTCTGTTGGATCAGATTGCAGCACAAACACACAAGGAGAACTATATAACTGGTTTTTCATAGTGTAGTAGACAGAAACACAAAAATGATTAAACAGCACTATTGTGTATAACCAGTGAGCTGTAGTCTGTGGTAAAAGACCTCATTTTAACTGTAATCATTGTAATTATCTGTAATCATGACTAACTTGTGCAGTGCTGTTTTGACACTGTCAAAACTTTTACACATGGGGAGGACTTTCAGCTATCACAGAGTAAGACTATTATACTATATGACTATGACTAGCAGACAGAAAACAGCCCTGTGGTGCATTGTGGGGGCATGTTATTTAAGGAAGCAGTTCTCAACCTGGGGTCCCCAAAAAATTTAGGAATATTTTAATTTCAATTATTTCATTGACTAAAAGTTAGCCCAATGAGAGAATGTATAAGCATTCTGCTCATAGGTTTCACACTCCTAACTATAAATCTGCAGTATACACAGTTATGGACTAAAACTCCATCTTATCAGACTGGGATCCCTGAGACTACATCTTATCAAATATGGGTCGGATGTGTATAACTTTTAGGGTCCTTGACACCAAAAGGGTTGAGAACCACTGGTTCAAGGTACTGATGGGATCATAAAATATGATCTAAAGAGCAGTTGGGGTAACAATGTGTTTAAACACATCAGTGTGTTTAAAGGCTTATCAACGACTTGTATTACTCACACACAGGATTTTACAACTCTGGAAAGTTATCACGGCAGCAACGATTTTATCTTTAGTTGTGATGATCCCAACAGTAGAGATATAAGCCATTTACCTTACCATACCAATCTACCAGGTATTTGTGCTGCATAATTGGCTAACACAGTTCCTTGTCAGATGGTTTCGCAAACTTTTCAGCACAAGTTGAGCCTGGTTAAACTTTTTTGCCCAACAATCGGGCAATGTTTTGTCTGCATTGGCATCCCGTTTTTGCGAGAGCTACTGTCAGTCTGACGTTGGCCTAAAAGTCTGAAGTTCATGGCAATCCATCCAGTGGATGGTGAGATATTTCAGTTTGGACAAAGTGGTGGACCAACCAACTGTTAACCAACACACAATCTGTATATTTCCACAGCATCAGTTTGAAAGTGACCAAAAACTCCAACAG